AAACTGGGCACATATGACTTGACTATAGATCAATAGAAAATGACCTTATTCTAACAAAAACTAACAACGAAACCATGATAATCGGTAGTAAACTAAGGAAAATATATCTTCAAGTATTGAAAACTATTGGAGATATTAATAGTAAATGATACATTTCACTAAAAAAAATTACCTTTTGATGTAAGGTGGTCATTCAACATAATATCAGAGAATAAATGAAAGGTCATGAGTTCCAATCTCACCGCCACTCACTTCAAACATTTCAAGTGCAGATGTCTAAATGTAATTTGTTTGTACTTAAGGGGGCATATTAGAGATTTTAAATTGATGATACATCTGCAGGCCTGCAGCAAGAAGTACGTTTTGGAAGCAACTTCCCGAGGCAAAATAACGAATCCTAATTTTTAATGTGCATTCAATTCTTCAGCGGTGTTTATCAATTCAATTGGTTAACAAATTAATATATTTCTTCTTATATTCTTCTTCTTTAATTGGATAAAAGTACCATTGTTTTTGTCATCAAATTAAACCTCTTTGTCGGTGATTAAAAAAATTGATAAACTAGTGTCACCCCTAAATTAAAGTCAAATTATGAAAAAATCCTTTATGTTTGGGTAATTACAGTCACCCCCTTCAACTATAAATTTTTTTACACGTCCACTTTTATGACGTCAAATTCAACAGAATCTTCTAGATTCCTTGAAATGTTCTCTAGTTTGTACTCGTTTTGTGAAAAAATGCAGTTTCTTAATCTGATATTTTCAAGTCAAGAGACACATCTTATGACCGTTTTATTTTAAAATATGGGGCTCGAATGGGGTAAAACGGGTACAAACTGGAGAATATCAATATAATCTAGAAGATTCCACTAAATTTGACACGTAAGGATGGACGTTTAAGAAGATTCATAGTTGAATGGGGTAATTGTAATTTACCCAAACACGAGGGGTTTTTCATAATTTGACCTTACCTCGGGGTGGCCATAATTTACCCTAGAAAAAATATAAAAATTTAAAATTAAATATAAAAGGGTCATTTATTCAATTTAGAAAACAATAAAAATAATGCAGATAAATATATATATTTTTTACAAGAGGATTTCAGGTTGGAAAATTGTTGACCATTTAGGAAAAAATATTAATATCAAGAATTGATGATGAACCCATGTGAATTTTTTCCTCTATTTCCTCTATAGCTTCCCCAGTTAACACCTTAATCAATTTGCAGCAGTATTAAATTAAAATTAAAATTTGTGATGACTATGTTACCTCTATCGAAGAATTAGCCGATCCATTCTATTCATGCTAACGAGGTGTTATATTATGAGTTTTCCTTGTATTATGTATCAATCTTTCATCTATATCTAGGCATTCTAATTAATTGCATTTATTGCATATTCCCTTTTTAAATTCCTCCATTTTTTTTTTCAAATATAATTATCATTTATAGTCGAATTACTAATATTTTCAAAAACATCGTAAAAAATATATATTTACTCTATATAATTAGAGCCAAAATCAAGATTGAAGTCACTATATACTCCACTTGAAGAGTACTATTGTGAATTTTCAATTAAGTTTGGAGAACGCCGAGATCCGGTACAATTAGAATATGAAATATCCTATAGGGTCACTCAGTATTAAATTAATTCCGACATCAATTAGGGAGGTGAAATATGTACTGATATGCTGCACGGACACTTTTAGGAGGTAAAAAGTCCCTGTATTTGACACTTGGACATTCGGACACACCCGAACACAACTCGGACATCCGTGTCGGGACGTGTCGTAATTTTGCTAAAAGTAGGACACTCGTGTCGGGCAGCGTCCGCAATTTGAAAAAAGTTGGGACATGGCTCTTATGTTTTAAAAGAAAACCCTAATAAAAAATACACATTTTCTTTTCTATGCAACACATATTTTCTGTGTTCTTTGAGAGTCCACCCAAAAGTCCAAAACTCTAGCGACAACAGCGACCAAGAACACGAGCAGCAAGGGAGAAAGGCTCTCTTATGCGATTTGACGACTTATAAATATATTTTTACAATTTATAATTGTTCCCCTATATTTTTATAATTTATAAATATATCTCTATATTTTTTATATATTTACGCGTATCCTCGTGTATTCATATCCTAGTTTTTTGGAAATGCCATATCATTGTGTCCGTATCTACGTATCCATGTCCGTGCATCATAGATGTACTGAATTTCTATCTATAAACCAACTATACAAACTTGAGATAAAATTCCTAGGTTTGGTAGATCAAAACAAAAAAATTGTGACAAATAATTATTTTTCTAAATATGATTATGGCCTCTGAAATCGTAGAATCGGCCCAATTTTTTTTACGAAACTTGGAACATATTTATAAATAATAATAAATTATACGCGAGTACGATAATATTATTCCAATTAACATGACCTACTAGTATTCATAATGTATAATGGTAATTCCAACATAAAAAAAAAAGTAGAAACAAAATTCATGGATAATATTTACTAATATAACTATATATTAATTATATCATGTATTTCATTTAACTATATATAGATAGGTTACTTAAAGACATGGTTACCAGTTATACATAATAATTAGCACAATTAGAAAAATAATTAATTGCATGACTTCCCTCCTAATGTTTCTTTCCAAGTTCACATAAATTAAAAATCCGAAATCCTAAATCCTTATAAACTGCATACTTTTAATTAGAAAATTTCAAATTTACCCTTTACACGTTTTAATAAAGCAGTGATCTTTCTCACTATATAAATATTCATTAATGATAAATGGTAAAAGTTAATTGTCTAAAAGAAATCTAATTTTCCTTTTAAAAATCTAAAGTGACACATAATGTGACTAAAACAACTAGCGGTGATAAATGCAGTTAAAAATTCGAAAGTTAATATATCCTATTCAACGACATTATTTTGGGAGAATATCACATCATTAATCATCATTAATCACTAAAAACATGGATTTATCATCGGTTTTGGAAGATGATACGGATGAAAGTGATGTAAAAATTTGGTTATACTTAATAACGAATACGAAAGACAAGTAAATTTATAGTTTTTCTTCAGATGTGTTTGAGGCTGGAAATGCCAGAGAATAAACGTAGTCATGTAAACAGTTGATGATAAGTAGATGACGATAATTATTTTTTATATTAAAATGTCTATATAGCTACTAAACTGCATCCAAAAATAGAAATAAAAGTTAAAATTATTTACCAAAAATCGTTCTATATTTATCATTTCTCTTTGACCACTGAAATACAGTTGAAACATAAATGTATTTATCAGTTTCAAGTCCATTTGTGAACGGTCGCCAGGTCGAACTTGTCACACATGGTTATCCTAAGTTTACGTATCTCGTATGATTTGCAAACTATTATACGAGAGTGTAGGTTTACTCAATGCACCTATACGATATGGTTGGCTGCGGGTTCCTTCATTACCAAAAAAATAATTAAATAAATGAAATGGATATCTATTGTCCAACAATTAATTACCAATATATGAACTAGGAAATATTTATTTATGTATTATCAACTCAAAATTAGAAGATTCGTCCCAATATTTACTTAATTTGTGTCTCTCACACACACACACACACAAACAATCGAATCCAATTACCCCAATTGGCACCAAAATCTTGATTGCAAAATTATTCCCACACAACAACTAGTCCAAGTTTTATAGAGCTCAATTTGTGTTCTCACTTTGTAGCAGTATTTTACAACTATTGCCCCCCACATGGTTTTCCAGATTTTCTGATCACACCGCAATACAGCTGGCATATTTTTTTTTTGGCAGTTCATAAAGTTTAGAGAAAAACAATAAATGCTAGGGGTAATTACATAATATCATAAAAGATATGGGGCCCATCTGTAATTTACTCAATCCTCACCTTGAGTCGGCATTGGCCCCCTCTATCTGTAAACGAGTAAAGACATCTTCTCCATTCATTCATCACTAACAAAAAAAAGAAAGTGGTCTCCAACCAATCACCTATACCTCCACCCCCTATATAGGATTCTTTTAATTGTGTTGAAGAGGGTAATTTAGGTATTTCACATGGTTTTTATTTTTTTATTTATTTAAATAAATAAATAAATATATAAAGATAGAAGAGGCTTTTGGTTCCATTTGGCAAGCAATATATTCCTTTATGGATGAATACTTTTTTAGTTTCAATTTGAAGTAGATAAAAATAGAAAGTTATCATTTTTATTTATTTATTTTATTTTATTAGTTCATATTGATTCAATATTGGAATTTAATAGTAGAAATTAGTAACATATTATATTTTATTGATAAAATTCAACATAACACCTAAATGATACTTTTCAATAAAATTTGTTAATAACCTACTCCTACAATTAATTTTGTAAGTAGTTATTATAAACAAAAAAGGAAAAAAGAAAAAGAAAATTTGTGTCCCTAAAATGTTATAAAATTATATGATTATTATTAAATTACGGATGTTACTGAAAAATCACATTTAGTGCTAGATTTTAACAATTTTTATACAAGATCTAACACAAGAAACCAAATATATTAACTAGCCAACAAAAAATAATCCAATCCAATCGAATATAAATTAATCTAATGTATGTAATCAAACAATACCTAAACAAACTAGAACAGGAAGTTTACTCAGTATAATAGTTTACAAGCGTATTATAGTATAATGCAGATTTACTCAGTGCACCTACATGATGGACTGTGCTATTATTAAAAAAAAAAATTACAACAATAAACATTCACTTCTTGCAAAAAGACCGGCGATTTGTGATTTCTTCAAACTCATAATTAACCATAAACATATAAAATAAAATAAAAATAATAATCACTAAGAATGAATAATTAAATATCTTTAAAATATATAAATAATATAAAATTGTAGATAATTAATGAGTAGTTACCCCACCCCCACCCCCACCTATTCTCTTCCCCCAAAAATATTTTCTTTATAATCCAATCATCTACACTCTGCCCAGTTCAGGGTTCACAAAACAAATAAATAAATAAATCCACTCTCAATCAACCCTCTAAATTAACAACCAAAATAAAGATCTTGAAAACAAATTAATACATACAATCATCAAAACCCTCTTTACAAGACACTTGCCACTGTGTGTTTGTTACTAAATCAAGAAATAATGCAGTACCATATGGGCGGCGGCGCGTCGCCCCCGGACACCAGCAAGACCACCAAGCTGGAGCGTTACAACAGCTACATCCGCCGCGTCAACAGCACGAAGCTCCTCCAGGCCTCCTCCAAGCTCCTCTTCCGCGTCACCCTCCTCGTCGCCCTCGTCCTCATCTTCTTCTTCACCGTCAACTACCCGCCCCTCTCCGGTGGCGGCGGCGACGGCCACCGCATCCACTCCACCAGCAACTTCCTCTCGTCCGCCTTCTACGGCGGCGGCAGCGCCGCCGCATGGGAGAAGCAGGTCCGCCACTCGGCCACGCCGCGCCGAGCCAACGGGTTCTCCGTCCTGGTCACCGGCGCCGGCGGCTTCGTCGGCTCACACTGCTCCCTCGCCCTGAAGAAACGCGGCGACGGAGTTCTCGGGCTGGACAACTTCAACTCGTACTACGACCCGGCGCTGAAGAGATCCCGGCAGGATCTTCTCACCAAGCACCAAATCTTCATCGTGGAGGGAGATTAAACGACGCCGTATTGCTTAACAAACTATTCGACATTGTACCCTTCTCCCACATCCTCCAGGTGGAAGCGCAAGCCGGCGTCCGCTACGCCATGCAGAACCCGCTCTCCTATATCAACTCCAACATCGCCGGCTTCGTCAACCTCCTGGAGGTGGCCAAAGCCGCCGATCCACAGCCGGCGATCGTGTGGGCTTCGTCGAGCTCGGTGTACGGGCTCAACACAGAGGTGCCGTTCTCCGAGAACCACCGCACGGATCAGCCGGCCAGCCTCTACGCCGCCACGAAGAAGGCCGGCGAGGAGATCGCGCACACGTACAACCACATCTACGGGCTGTCGCTAACCGGGCTGAGATTCTTCACGGTTTACGGGCCGTGGGGACGGCCCGACATGGCGTACTTCTTCTTCACCAAGGACATCCTCCACGGGAAGGGGATCAACGTGTACGTGACACAGGACGAGAAGGAGGTGGCGCGTGACTTCACGTACATCGACGACATCGTGAAGGGCTGCGTCGGCGCGCTCGAACACGGCGGAGAAGAGCACCGGAAAAGGCGGGAAGAAGCGCGCCCCGGCGCAGCTCCGGGTTTACAACCTTGGGGAACACCGCCCCCGTCACCGTCGGAAAGCTTGGTCGGCATACTGGAAACCCTGCTCGGCACGAAGGCGAAGAAGCGCGTGGTGAAGATGCCGAGAAACGGGGACGTGCCGTACACGCACGCTAACGTGAGCCTGGCGTACAAGGACTTCGGGTACAAGCCGACGACGGATTTAGCGACGGGGTTGAGGAAATTCGTCAAGTGGTACGTTAGTTATTACGGGATCGAGTCGAGGGTAAAAAAGGAAAATGAACCCAACACAAACGACCATACAGATGATTAAGCATAATTGGAGTCCCCACCCTCACATGGGAAAGAAGGTGACGGTGGGGCATGTTTTAATTTATTAATTTTCCTTTTTTTTTCTTTTTTTTTTTTTTAAATATATATTTTCCTTTTTCTTTTTTTCTTTATAAATATTCCGTTGTTGTCTGTAATTGGACCCAGTTGATGATGATGTTGTATTAGAATAGGGGATAGATTTCTATAGTAAAAAGAATGGGAAGGAAAGACAAGTATAGTAGATCTGTGAATTATGGCATTATTGTAATAATAATTTATCCTATTTAATTAATTAGGGTAAATTAAATATTTAAAAGAAAAAAAGGTTGAAATCTGTACAAAAAAAAATGTTGTTTCAGATCAACCCTTTGTATCATGAATTACTGTATACTTTGTTGGGAAAGCAATGAATGATATTTGAGATTCTTCTTCCACTTGTTTCTATTTACCATTGTCTTATTTACTTTTTTTCTACTCATTATAATTAAGGATAAATTACGGTAATCCCTGAACTAAGGTTAAATTACGAGAAAAAAAAATTCTTATGTTTGGGAAATTACAATACATGAATCTTCTTACACGTTCAACTTTATAGTATCGAAATCGATAGAATCTTCTAGATTTAGTGGAATGTTTTCTAGTTTGTACCTGTTGTGTAGTGAAGAAAAAAAAATGCAGTTTCTTATGGACCACGATCTGATGTTTACAAGCCAAAAGACACATCTTATGATCATCGTCATGTTTCAAAATGTGGAGCTCGAATAGGGTAAAACAGATATAAATTGGATAATATTCCACATAATTTAGAAGATTCCACTAAATTTGACACCGCAAAAGTGGACGTGTAAGAAGATTCACAGTTGAGGGGTAGTTGTAATTGCCCAAACATAAGAGGTATTTTTTTAAATTTAACCTTAGCTCAGGGGTGTCCGTAATTTACCCTTATAACTAATTAATTAAATAGTAGGATACTCGATTACTTATATTATTATTATTTAGTATTTTAATTGTTAAATTTTAGTAAAATATAAATTTATCTTTATGTATAGGATTCTTAATTCAATATAATAATTCAATTTTATTCTATAATGTTTCAGACATAATTTGTTTTTTAGTTATTTCCTCCGTTCCTAAATAACTGTCAATTTTTACTTTTCACAAAGATTAAGAAACTCAATAAATATATCTTGATTTTAGAAAAATCATATCAAAATGACTAAAACAACCTTTAATATTTAATAATTTATAAGAGAAATTTAATGAATAGAGTTTCATTAATAATGTTAAAACAGTAAAAAATGCATTTAATGCAGTGTTAGAAATCTAAAGTGACAGATAATATGGAATAAAAATATTTTAAAAAAGAGACAATTATTGTGGAACAGAAGGAATATTATTTACAAAACTAATTACGTAGAAAAGAATATTAATATTTTTATTTAATAGTGGCACTTAATTGTATTTAATTTCATTACTTACCTAAATTTGTTTGAATTTTGATAACCAAATTGTTTACTACTAATATATTTTCGTTTTCTTTTTCTTTAACTCTGGGCTGAGTGATATAATTATGTACTAATGTTGGCTAATGTTTGAGTGGGTGTCCCTTCAGCTTGTCTGTTGGTAGATTTAACAAATTAAGTATTAGTAATTGTTTATGTAATAAACATTAAATACAATTAAGACCTTTTTTCGTTCTTTACTAGACTTGCAATTAGGGGTGTTTATTCGGTCGGTAAACTGACCGAACCGTATCGAATCGAACCGAAAATTTGGTATGTGCCAAATACCGAACCGAAAATTTGGTTCGGTATTCGGTATCGATATTGATGCCCAGAATTCTATATTGTACCGAATACCAAAATATTTAATATATATTTATCCTTTTCTTTTATTTTAAATCCTTTAAGATTATAATAAATTATAAAATACTTATAGATTATTTTTTCCATTAGTTACAAAGTTGCCTCTAATGATAGTCACTTTTTTATTTATAGGGCCCTCAAATTCAAAAAGTAATTAGTTTAAATTTTGTTTTTACCATTTTTTAAATAAATAAAATATGTTTTCAGTATTACCGATACCGAATCGAAAAAATTGAATTAATTCGGTAAAAAGTCGCACGAACCGAATAGTTCAGTTAGGTGAACTATATAAATTTTTGAAGTACCAAAATTTCGATTTACCGAGATCCGGTAAATTTTGGTACGGTTTCATCGCATGAACCCCGTACTTGCAACCAATTCACTATTGAACCTTGCTGAAAAGAAAAACATAACACTAATTGCACCGACAGATCAATTCAATTTAACTTTTATTTTATTTTTTTATTTTTTTATTTTTTTATTTTTTTATTTTCTCTATCTATATATATTTGACCGACAATTAATTCAGTGTCGCACCTGTACAACCGGCCAAATGCAATCCAATTTTTAAAACATTACTATAATTAATTAATAATGTGATCTTCAATTTATTCTTTCATGTCGATTTAGGAGTGCCCACGTATTTATTTGCAAATAACGTATTAAATTCGACTTTTCACCAAAAAAAACAACAGTTATTAATTGAATTTTGATTAATTGGGAGTCCCAGTTATTGATTCAATTAATTAGACAAAAAATGTATATTTAAATTAAAAAAGTAAAGAAATTAATGTGCTCTTATTAGTTTATGAAAAAAGCCATACGTGCAATGATTGACCCCAATTAACATGGTAAATAAATTAGCTGTTTAATTTTGTGTACAAAATAAATGAGTATTGATCGCGTAATTTTATATGCCGTCAAGTTAAGTTTCCTTCAATAACTATCTCCGTTGATTACTGGAGAAGGGTTATTTTTATGCTACACTCAGTGAAGGTTACAATCAATGTGGATGTGTGTGTATATTTGTGTGATTATAAATGATAAAGATCTACCCAGTATACTTCACCCAGTGTAACATAGAATAAACACTGGAGAAGGTCTTCGAAAAAAAAATTCCTTATGGAGTTACAATTTCTAAAGATAATTACTCGAGGAAAACTTGTATATTTGGTTCATATCTTTGTTTTGTATGTCCGAAACTCTTTTCTACCGGGAATATATATAGGCTTAAGGTTTTACAAGCCCACCGTTGGTATGCACGTCTCTCCTTTTCCCTTAGTTACGAGATATATTTTCCTTAAATAATGAGATTCCTCTTATTCGAAATTCTTATTTTAAGGGGCGCTATTAGGTTTACGAGGATCGTTACTTCTTTGCACATAATTGAGCAGCGTGTCTTTCAAGCCAAGGAACGGAAGGTGAAAGTCCCCGTATCCGACACTTGAACACTGAGACACGCCCGAACACCTCTCGGACACCCGTGTCGGACCGTATCGTAATTTTGCTAAAGATAGGACACCCGTGTCGGGCAGTATCTGTAATTTTAAAAAAGTTAGGACACGACTCTTATGTTTTAAGAGAAAGCCCTAATAAAAAACTACGCATTTTCTTTTTCTGTAATAAATTTTCTTCTATCTCTTTTTAGAGTCCACCCAAAAAGTCCAAAACTCTAGCGGCGATGGCGAGTGGCTAGCGGCGACGGCTACAAAGAACATGAGCAGCTAGGGCAAGTGGTTCTCTTATGCGATTTGGCGACTTATAAATATTTTTTTACAATTTATAAATGTACCCCTATTTTTTTATAATTTATATATACCCCTATATTTTTTATATTTACACGTATCCCCACATGTCCGTATCCGAATTTTTTTGAAATGCCGTATGGCTGTGTTCGTATCCGCGTATCCGTGTCCGTGCAACATAAAACGAACCTTCTGGACATGACTTCTTTCAAACGCCCCCATTTAGGGCTATTTACACGATGGACCGTCGAACCGAGTCGGAACTTTTTTGATTCTCCGGTCGATAGTGGATTTGGCCCACTTGGCCGCCAAATCGACCCCCATAAAGTATGTAAGCAAAAAGCTGAAGCTAAGATCTATGAACGTTGCCCATCCCTAAAAAAGCCATAAGCTGACAAAAAAAATCATGGCATAGGATTTGTAGCTCAAAAGCTGATAGTAATTAAGCTGAAGCAGAAAGAAGAAAAAATCTCATAGTTTTGCGTACATTAATATTGATTGTGAATGTTTAACCACCAATGCTATAAACGGTTGTACATTTGGAATTTAGAGTAAGACCACCATTGCCATAAACTGTGATAATTATAGTTTTCGTCCCTACATAGAATTTACATCTAATTATAAAATAATAATATTTTACGATTTCACCCTTTTTTATTCAATGAAATTGGTTTGATCTCTGTCTCTATATATATTTCACCAAGAGTGTCACCACATTATATTACATATTTGATATTTATTATAATTTTATTGATCTAATTTTCAAGACAATACCATCAACTTTAAAGTGTTACGTATAATTATAAATTTTATTCGCAAACAAAGTTGTACGTACAGTTAATTACGAAGTGATCCGTACGTTTTATCTACTTATCTTAAAGATCGCAGATAATGTATGCAATCGCGTAGATCATTAATAATCTTATCTACGTGTGAAAAATATACGTCTAATTTAGTTATCTTTAAAGTTATGGATGATATGCAAGTGTTTACATCATCAATAATATTATACACATAAAATTTTAACTGCAATTGGTGGTACGCGTGAGACTCACTCGTTTTCAGGAATGTAAATGATGCAAGTTTTACATCGCAATAACCGTGTCAATTATATACATTCCCTTACAGTTTCCCTCATACCGCACATTTTGTCCATAGTATCCAACATCAAAATTCAAAATTTCCTCTCCAACCCGTATGCATCGTATTTAATTTATAGAACAGTGGATTTCAGATATTGATCCCCGTGGTCCAATTAATTATATATTGTCAATGTATCGTAATTATATTATTTAACCAACCGAATAAGTGAGTATGTTGATGAGTTAAAGGTACGCAACATAAAACATGGAATTAAATTGCGAAGAGAAAGTCCCAATGTTGATAACTTCTATAGAGTCGACTTCACCGATGTTTTTCCTATATTGATTTTATAAATTCAATATTAATTATTGATTCTCTATTCACTAACTCAAACACTAAAAATGTCATAATTCCTCTTTCCAAGGTTATTCGAATCTACCCACTTACCATGTTCCCTTCTGAAGCTTAATTAATAATAAGAGAGCATTTAGATTAAATCCTTAAATTAATTGGCTGCCCCCAAGGCGAAGTTCGTTCCCAATTCAACTACCATGTTCCATGATTTCGAAGATTCCAACTAGGAGTCCTCTTTCGAGATCCTCAATTACAATCAATTCAATTGGTGATAAAGCAAATGAAAAAAATAATAAGAACAAAATTTAAATGAAGAACAAGAAAAGATTAACTTATAGCAAATGCCAATTCTACATGACAATTCATGAATGAAATATTAACTTCAAC